AAAAAAAAAAAAAATCCACATAGGTTGAAGGTACATAGGAATTGCAAGGAGCTGATCTGCCCTATTTCTACTTCCTTTTCCCGTGACATGTCTTTAGCTCACTGGCCTTTGTACTTGCTGGTTTGAATCTCACTTGTGATGTTTACCTAATATTACTGTCCAGATGGCACCAAAACTTAATGGGGAACATGGCAAACTTTCCTGACAATAATAAGAAGTAGCACATTGCTTTTTTGCATATGTGTTTAAAGTACCGTGGGATTACCATGCACAAAACTTGGCAATGCATATCCAAGTTGTACCATTTAAAGTTACACAAGTTTAATGAGGTAGGGTATCATGTGGGCAAGAAATTAATTCAGATACATACACATATATTTGTGAAAGCTAAACTAACTGAAGTAGCTTTTAGTATGCTACACCTCAATAAAAGCAGTCCAAAAATAAAAACATCTAGTCCAGTGGTGCCCAACCTTTTTGCACAGCAGGCTGGATGGACAGTGCCCATTCTGTCTACAGGCTAGATCCAGCTGGTGGTCCCAATCTGGCACTTGGAATGGTCATGGTGGGCACAATCCAGCCATGTAGAAAAGTGTGGGAGCAGACTGGCACCAACATTGCCCCACAGTGGAAAGGAGCTTGAAGGAAGCGGGTGTGACTTGGCTTTAACCTGGCCCCATGGGGGGGAGGAGGGGAAGGCAAAGCCCGCACCCAGACCCCATGGGGAAAGAGGGTGTGCACAGGGCTTAGGGAATTTGGCAGCAGGGGAGGGTAGCCATATTAATGGCAACTGCTCCCCTGCCACCAAATTTCTGGACCTGTGTAGATCCCCACAGGCCAGGTCAGATGGCTCCATGGGCTACATTTGTTCTGCAGGCTAGGGGTTGAGCCCATTACGGCTAGGGACAGACATTCAAAAAGCCCAAGCCTGAATAGATTCAGTCTTTGCAGGTTAGTCTAGCCTGCAGAGAGTAAACTGGTTTGCAAGTGGAAAGACATTTGGCACATGCCTGCAGTGTCTCAAGCTAGAAGTCTGGGGGCACTAGAGCAGCTCTCCCTTCTACAGGGAAGTTGAGCAGAGAAGGAGGGCATGGCTAGGCCCCGGCAGGCCCACCCCAGTGGCTCCCTGACAGCCAGGAGCAATCTGGGCATACAGGGCTGCCTGTCCCCAGAGGGGAAGTCTTCCCCCTCCTCCCTCTCCCATACTGCTGTGGGCCCAGGAGGGGGGCCCTGTTCAGTGCTGAGGGTCTCTTCTCTCTCCTCCTCCCCTGCTGCCACCATGGGGTGAGGAGAAGGGCTCTGTAAGGCTGCCTTGCCCCAGAGGGGGACTCTTCCCCCTATTTCTCTCCCATTGCTATGGTGTGGGGAGGGGATAGAGCCAGCCATCATTGCTCTGGGGGTGAGGAGCACAGCCCCGCACTGCCCAGTTGCTTCTGTCCCCCAGGATCTGCACTGCATGCCAGCAGCTCCGCACAAACAGAGGGGAAGGTCCACGCTGAACTTCACCTGAAAGCAGGGGGCAGGGCTCCCTCCCCTCCTGGCAGAGTGCAGGGACTGCAGCTGGGAGTGTGGGAGACAGCAGGCTCCAGGTCAGGCCTTCCCCTGCTGTGAGTGCTGGAGCTACAGGTGTGGGGAGCAGAGCCTCAGGGATAAGGTAGGCTCCACTCCCTCCTCTGCGCAGCGTTGGCCAGAGCTGCATCTGCATCAGGCAGGAGCGCTTTGACCTCCCCACCTGCTGCTGCCAGGTAGTGGGGGTTGCACGCCATGGGGGCAGTGTGTGGGGGTCCCTACACCCTGCACCTTCACCCCACACACACATACCCTGCCCAGCTGAGTTCCAGGATCCCACTCCCCCTCTGGGGGGAGAAGAAGGGGGGAAAGTTCCTCTCAGCATGGAACACAGTCTCCCTCTGCCCCCCACCCCCACTCTGGGGCTGGGCAGCATCACATGGAGCCCCCTGCTCCCAGCCCAGGGTGGTAAGGGGAGGAGTGGGAAGAGTCCACTGTGAGACAACCAACCCAGCATGGCCCTGTTAAGGTGAAGGGGGCAGGGAGAAGGGTTAATTCTTCCCTTTGTTCCTTCCCTGCAGCCTGGGTCTGCCAGCTTCAGGGGCTGCAGCCCCCTCCCTTCTGCTCCCCAGCAGACAAGCTGACCCTGGGTACTGTGGGGGAAGACAGGAAGGAAGAATTAACACCCTCCCTGCCCCCTTTGCTTTAACAGGGCCATGCTGGCTGGTCCCTCCGCTAGGGCCCTTCCTTGCTCCCACTAAAGAGCAGAGGGGAGGGGCCAGCTCTGCTGGGGCGCAGAGAGCCCTGCCCACCCAAGAGAGCATGCCAGGATGCTGGGGGAGTCTGATTTAACTTAAACCAGCAAAGGATCTGGAACAGACACTGCATAAACTAGTTTGAGCCAAATCAGTTAAGCCTGATACTACACGCAACCAGGTTCATCTCAAACCGGTTTCAGCCAGTTTCAGACTGGTTTATGTGAACTCAATGTCTGTTCTGTTACAGATTTAAACCAGTTTCTGATCATTTAAACCGGTTTGTGTGTAATGTCTGTCTCTAGCCTAGGAGTCTAGCCTGTTGGGTAAACTGACTGACTGTATGGCTGCTATAATCAGGAGTGAGAAGTTTAAATAGGAAAGAAAACACAAAGATTAACTGTATCTAGAGCAAAGGCAGGCTAAGAGACAGAAGATAAAGAAGTAACATGCTTTCAAAGAAAGCAAGGGTTAGTTTAGGACAACACACACATAAGATTTTTAAAAAAGAGATACGGCTAAGGGAAACTGAGTTGTTGATTAAAGGAATGAACAGGAGATTCTCATAACCCCCACCTGGCCTAGCCCACACTGCTTATGGGGGGGCAAACTGACAAAAGAAGTGGCAGTAACTTCAAACAAGCTGTGAGGCTCACTTGGCCACACCCAGGCAGCAGCAGAAGCTCCTTGAGTGAAAACAACAGTTTGATAGCTTTCCTCCCTGATGCTTTTCCCTCCCTCTCCCCAACTTAGACACTGATCCACTGAGAGGCACCCTCTTAGGGAGTTTCACTCCTTCTTGGTAGGAACTCTCATAGTTTCCTAGGCATATACTGCAACATCTCTTTCAAATGCACAGGGGAAGCTCTTGGGGTAGAGTCACATCTCTGGGAATGGGCCAGGAGCTGCTTCCCCTAACTGACTGCTAATGGAGCCGAGACAATAAGAGAACTCGGCAATCTTTTACTTAAAGGACTCTCAAACCCATCAGCTATTGAGTACTTAATGGCCTGCCCAGATAGGGTAAATAGCCTAAATTATCTCCAGCTTCAACAAATAATTCAAATAGAGTAAGATTAACGTTTAGCAAAACAGCGCTTTACCAGAGATTTTCCTTTGAGTGCCAATAACAAAGTTCATCTCCTCTCATCTGAAACTTTGTTATTGCAGACACAGGCTCCCCTAGTACAATAAACTCATTTCCACTTGATAGCAAGCCTACCTTCTCCCCGCCCATGTACTTCCTAACAGAGTAGTGCTTTTCTCTCTAAGTTTAAACACATAATACACAGCTAAAAATCAGGTAATGCTGGAACTTCTGAATACAAAGCAACAAGAGGTGAGGAGACAGTTTCCTGGGTCACTGATCTAACACTTGGGAGAGGGAGAGAGACAAATTTTTTTTCTGACCGGCTATTTTTCTTTTAAGGGAAAAAATAGTAAGAAAAAAACCCCATTGTTCCTACCCTTGCTCAGGTCCCTGGATCAGAGCCTCTAGGAAGGTGGGACGTGGCTTCTCCTCAGTTGTATTCTCTGGCCAGGTTTGCACAAACATATGCGGAACTCCACTTATCAGCACAGCTGGCGTTTCACTCCTTCCTTCCCAGCCCTGCTCCCAGCACACCCACTGCTCTCCCAGGCTTGATGACTTCACTCTCCCACCTTGTGTCAATCCAAGCACAGGCTGAGGGAGGAAGGGGGCTCCTTCCCTTTCAGATTCCTGCCAAATGGACAAATGAAACTAATTAAAATTTGAGCCCTCGTTGATACGGATTATTTCTGTCAGCCTTCAGAAACCACCAAAAAAGGGATCTGGCAGTGACTAGCTGCGTGCAAGAGAAGCTCCTCCTCTGGAGAGGCAGGGGGAGGGAGTTGCAAAGGTAGAGTGACTGTACACACAGACTTCCTGCTGGCATTAATACGAAACTAGGGGTGTTGAAAAAATATTTGTAGCTCTGTTGTGTACAAACACAGGCACATGCACAGACCTGAGCATGCAACAGCTAAAATACGGCATTTTTAAAACTTAAATTCCTTCTTTAAACAAAGGCAGATAAGGTTTGTAGTGTAAATTTGATATCTTTTGTTATACCAATTCAAATAGTTGGAAAAATTCTTCTTTGCAAGCTTTCAGGTATAAATACCCCTCATCAGGCTGAGGAAGCATCTGCAGTTGGTGTGTGCATTTCTTTAAACAAATACAGCCATTCCTATGACCCTCACATTAAAATGTTGATTAAAATATACTGGGTAATTCTCTGCAGCGTGAATACAAGACTTCCATTCACTCCAGAGCTTCTGCTGACACTGCAACCATGTAATGGTGCTACAGTTACATTCAAGGAGACCTTTTCATTTAAGTTTTTTGTTAACTTTCAACATTTCTGAAATATTACCCTCAGCCCAATGTTATGTGCGCACACATGCTTATTGCCAACTGACAGTGACTTCTTGGGGAAGTTTCATTATATATATATATATATATATATA